CAATGAAAATCCAGAACAAAAGTTGAGGATAAAGCAATAGCCTAGAAAACAACAGGAGATCGGGTAAGACCAATCAAACCAACAAGTATCCCCTCCTACACACTGAATGCACTTTTCTGCATAGCAGCATTTCACAAGATAGAGATTGAAGAGCTGCTGCTTAACGCTGCCCCTGGAGAGTTGCCCAGAAGTTTTTACATTGCTTAGCACCCTGTGCATAAAAGGGCAGCAGTGGTGACACTCCTGGTGAACTCCTGCTGGCCAAGCTGTCTGGCAGGTATAGCTAAAAAAGCCATTTTTGGAAAATAGTGCCTTTTTATAGCTTATCTCAGTGCTGACAGCTGCCTCATGTCTCTAGAAATAGCAGGATGTAACAGCCATGTTTGCAGGGACAGATTTTAAAGGTTCCATCTTCTAAGAAACAACCTACACATCCAGAAACAGAAGGCCAGATTTGTTTTGATACTGGAACCCCCTTCCATATGCTAAGCATGCCCACGGATTTGCAAAAACCTTGCTCTGAAAATGGGATGTTCATTCAGCAACAGGCAACAAGTAACTTGCGTCTGCCTTCCTATAGAGTCTGTTCCCAGCATAACCGGCAGCAAAATAGCACACAATTAGGCTGATACTGCCTTTTGCCGAAAATCATTGGCATTTTCTAAGAAAAACAGTGGTGGAGGAGAGCATTAAACACTGGGAAAACAAGTAAAAATACCCTGCAGCTTCAGCTGATCAACATCTCTCCGTTGTTCCTCTTCAGCTGGAGTGAGACAGAGATCCCAAAGCATTGTTATGAATCATTCGAGGTGACAGAGACACAAGCCACAGGCTGTGTTCCAGGTCAGTCCCACTGCTACAAACCCCAACCACATGAGCCTGGAGGAGCCTCTCCAACCACCCTGCCTCCATCGTGTTCATGAGTATGACAGGGATAATGTTATTTTCCTGCCTTTTAGCAATAACAAGCTTTTTTAGGTAAAAAGAGCCCAACTCCCAAGAATTTAGCACTGGAAGAGATAATGCTAAGGATGTAAATGGCTTAGATTGTAACAGGACCTTGCAAATTTTCCACAGTACCACCTTTTACCAGCAACAGTTGGACCAATTGTCTGCAGCATCTTCCTCATTACGAGACCTTTTTTTATTTTTTAACTGAATGAAGGGGTACTAAAGACAACGACCTGCTGTGAAATGACCAAAATTCCCATGCAAACAACCCATTAGCAGTGTTCAAATGCAATTTAAATTACTAGTTGCTAAAGTGCCCCTCAATTTCATGGTAAGTTTCCAAGGAAAATTACATGCTATGTACTATTTAATTGATTGTTTTCTACTTCTTAACATCCATTTATTCTCTCCTCCTGTCTTTTCCTTAATTTCAAGGGATGGTAATGACTTTTTGGGGAGGAAAGGGGAACAACTAATGGAGTTGGAGAGGGATTTACCTGAAGAACAAGGATGTAGGAGGGAAGTGACTGCCAAAATCAGGCAGCTTCACTGGAACTTGTCCTTGTGATATTTTTCACAGCAGGGGTGTGAGACAGCACAGCACAAGGACTCTTTCCTCCCCACCACAGGCAGCCCGGCTTTCAAAAGCTGATGTTTCTTTAAAACGAAGTCAAGCAATAAGCACAGTTAACTATTAGAAGACAGCAGTAAAGAAACAAGAGCAACTTCTTTCCTCCTCCTGGGCACGCTAGTCCTTGAACCGACACACTCACTGGAGACAAACAAGTTTCTCTCATTTGGGAGATCTCATCCCAAATGCAAATACCTAGTTCTCAGGGGCAAACTCCCCCGTAAGTTGACTGAAGAATTAGTCTGCAAGTGAGACCTCCTGCTGCTTGCAACAGCTGGTACAGGAGAATGTGTATTATAAAGCTAATAACAACAGACCTGTCTTAAAAGCCTACACTCTATTCAGATCCGAGGAAGAAGCAGCAGTACAATTAGGTGAGGTACCATCTGGAAAGGATGGTGATACATGTTGGGATCATGTCACACACTAGCAACATCTATCAACTTTATGAAATACCCAATACAACTTTGTTTTCCTTTAAGCAACAGACTCAGAAATATTTTGTGTTCAGAGAAGTATGACTTTATTAGAGTAAGAGAGATGGGTTTAACAGCACCACTTGGCTTGAGGCTGTGAAGTGCGCACCTGTCTGTGGGAGCTGAGCATGAACAGTCGTATGGAACCAAAAGATTTGCACTTTTCCCAAGTTTGCCACATGGTGCCTCAGTTTCCACGCCTGCACACCAGGATAATAAAGCTTTCCCCAGCCTGTGGGCACGGTTTAGCGTTTAAAGGGTCTGAAAGCTTTGCCTACAGAAATAGGAAGTATCAGATGTCTAGAGCCATCTAAGCTCACAACCTTGTCTCGCCTTCATCCCTTCCATGCCTCTGTGCGCTGCACATAACTGCATCAGCTTCTCTTACAGGCTGCAGGGCATGTACACCCAGCCCTCAAGTGAATTCCTGAAAGCACCAGAGACACACAGTGACAGTGCCACCAATTTGCCACATCCCGTACAGTGCCAGCCTTGGATCAATTGGTGCAACAGCTGGGATGAAGGATGGGCTGAGAACCAATCCTCCTTACATGGAAGCTAAAGCAAATCCTCTGTATTTAATACATCATTAGAAGTAATTGAGAGTAGCTTAAAAAAGGAAGGCATGGAGCACACCTGAGGTCCAGTGCCATGGAAGGTTTCTCAGACTTGAGCATTTACCAGGTGCCAGGCTGCAGGAGGGAAAAATCTTTAGATAGCTGTATTAATTTACAGGTCAGCCCTTAATGGCTGTGTTCCTGGAGCAGAAGAAAATACACTGTGAACCCTGGTTAGCATCAGTGATCATCACTGGATCTGCCCAGGTCCTCGAGAAATACCAGATGGAAAGCCTTGGCAGCCTGCAGTCCCAGCCGTGGACATCCTCCATCCTCCAACAGCCCTCCCAGCCCTGCCTGCACCCATTGAGGGGACACATAGGCAGCACGTGGGAGCTCATCCTTCACAGTCCATTCAGCTCTCAAGTCACGTCCTTGCAGCAATGAGATGTTGCACAGAGAAAGACCGGCACGTGAAGATTAATGGCCCCAGTGTGCTTCCCCGGGCATGCCAGATGAGCACTGCCCAGAGCCCTGTGTTACAGCACTCAGGCACTGCTCATCCTTGTCTTCCAACAGTCTGTCCTGGCAGGCAGGAAAGAGGGAAAACTGAAAGGGGAACAGAACATCACCATTTCCAGTCCCACCATGCTGCCTCCGAAACACCAAGCTCAGCCACAAGCAGCTGGCGAAGCCTGGATGCACCACATCCATGCACCACCAGAAGCAGGGGCTGATCCAGGGCTCAACCAAGCACGGGAAGTGCTGCGCAAGGACAAGGTATCGCCGTCCTGTGGGGCCATGTGTACACACACAAAAGCAAAGCTCAGCACACAAGGAGTGACACAGATTGCCAGCTCACTGCCTGTTACAGCTTGGCACCACCACACATGACACAGAATGGGCTGCTCCCTGGCAAGTCGCTGGGCTGAGGCTTCAGGTGTTGCAACATCTCCGTATGTCTCCCCAGCATCCTGTTTTCCAGCCCATCACCTTCACTGTCTGTTCAGGCCATATACTCTTTAGGACAGCAGCTCTTTCCTTTGCGCCAGTATCAAGCCCATTCCAGTGGGGCCCTGATCCCAAAAGCTGCAGTAATCTGAGTAGCTTGTTGAAACGGCAAGGATTAAAACGCAGCTAAAGCCTACAAGCTCCCAACATGTCCCACCTGCAGGAACAGGCTCCAGCAGTCCCTTCATCATCTTTTGGGGCCCAGTACTTTTCAGCTCACACCCCATCCTTGTGCAAACTAAGACAAGTATCTATCCCTGCCCAGAACAATTAAGCCAGTTTTGCTCCTCAAGGAGCTGCTGCAAATTCACATCTCTGGAAAATCAAACCTCAAACCAAGTATTAATCCCTGTTTAAAAGGGCAAAAGAAAAACAACAAAAGATTTAACTAACAAAGGTCTTAAATTTAAAACAAGGAGAGTATGATAACAGGTTTGAATCAGACTAAAAATACAAGTTAGTTGAGAAGATACAAGTATAACCAGCAATAGGAACTATAAAGCATTTTTCATCAACACCCCTTCCCAAGTAAAAGGACAAAGTGCAGTACTTTCTGTCCGAGCCACAGGACTGGCTGCTGTGCACCCCCTTGAGCAGTGTTAAAAGCACTCTACATGTTACATGCTCCAAATGACAAGAGGAATGTGGGATGGTGGATCTCCACTCCAGATTCCCCAGTCTGGTTTTAGCTGCCATGAATAAAACAGGAAGCAGAGAATCTTCCAGGTTCCCCCGACACCCCTGACTGCCTGGATAAGCTGCAGTTTCCTTTCAGGAAAAAGAAAGGAAAGGAGGGGGGGGGGAAATAAGAGAAGCAGCCAGCTGCAATACTAGAGAGATTAAAAACTTCACACTAAGGAAAAATAACGAGTAACAGGAAAAAAGACCCTGAACCTTCATCCAGTTACAGCAGCTAAACTGCTTCAGGTCCCTAACAAAACAGTTAAATATTAACATTTGAGAGAAATATATCTATGCATTATGCAGCCTTTTCAACACACACTCTGGCTTAAGAGACAGAAGCCATATTTAACCTATATTTCACTTGCTGACCATACGCATATATACTCATTTAACTCTACACTGCTCTGCTGCCTTGCTGCATAAACCACTGAAAATAAAAGAAAGAGCATGACTGAATGAGAGCTGGCTTAAATTATCTTTACACCTAGGCCTGAAGAAACATTTTGCCTTTGAGATCAATCCACTAAACCAACTTTCCCTGCTACAGAAGGTTTCATAGGGTCCCTTGATGTTGACTGGAGATTCACATGCCTACCTCCACCCTCAATGCACACACTTCAATGCAATCCATCTGGCTAAACAAAACAAAAAATCCCAAGCTGCTTGCTAAAGCAGCAATGATGCACTTACCAGCATCCAGGCAAGCTCCTTCGCTAACACACTTCCCTCCTGAGCAGATCAAATTTGGAACAAGGTCCAGGAGCAGGAGAGAACTAAGAACTGACCACAACAAGCTTCCAAAACAAGAAAGGGCGGGGGGGTATGGGGGGGGAGAACCTTACTACAGGAATTCAAATCCTGCTTCCACCAGACCCTGAGTCACCTCCCCTCCCTTGCAATAGATCAGAGCAATGGGTAAACATTTCCAAATATGGAGATCAAAACTCCAAAGGATGTCAAAAAAAATCATCCTTCTCTCCCTGGCTTTGGCACAGGGAGGACTTGCCCCTCTGGAGCCTGAGCTGAGCACATCGCTGTTACTGACCTACACACAGCCTGGACATGGGACTACATGTCACCTTCTTCACCTGTGCGTTGGAGGCTCCTGGATCTATGGGTGACACTGCATCTCTGTCTCATCCATGGGATGCCCGGTGACATGCAACAGGGGCAGCTCCAGGAGATATCACCCCTTGCCCACCACAAACCATCCTTTCATCCCTCACTCATCCACAGAAAACCTCCTAGAACTATTTTTTGGAGTACCCTTTGAAGGCACACAGGCACATTCAGGCTGTGTTTATCATGATACCAGCTTGGCAGCAGAGAGGGCAAGGCTCAGCCGTCAGTGCCACTGGAGAGGTCCTCGATCTCTGCTGGGACACACAACACAGCATCCCATGGCAGGCAGGAACAGGAGAGCACTCAGCCTCCCCATCCCTAGGAGAGGGGCTTGATGGTCAATGCTTAAGCCCATACGGGAAATTTAGGAGGCAGAACAGTTAAGCTCAGAGGGCACAACTGTCCCTGCAGAGCCTGCCTGCGCACAGAAGCAATATATCTATGCCACCACTCCCGACCTGCAGGCAGCAGGAAGGTGACTGCTATGCCTGCCAGCATGAGATGACAGCCTCCTCGTAGCTGAAGCCATGGCTCCAGGAGCAGGCAGCCTCTCAGGAATGTGCAAATCAGGACATTTTCAAGGGGAACAGGCTGCTGAGGCGATCCAACCAGACCAGAGTGATTCCCCAGCACCACCCACAAGATGCTATTGAATTTATAGGGAAGGAATTCCAGAGCTGACTCTGCCCATGTATGGCCAAAACAAACTGTAAAAAAGCAACATTATAGTACATCTGGCTTTCGCTGGTACTGAAGCACAGGCTTTGGGAGGAGCCAAAATCCTCCAGTGATAGAGGCTGTACAATTACATCCAGTGACTACGCAGAGGTCAGCGGCCCATGGCAGCATCAGTTTAGCACCCAGTATCACAGGTGATAGACAAACATGTAAATGCTTGCTTTAGAAGAAGAAAATAACCCACCAAATATAAACAAACAAAACCCCCACACTTTTATGCTTTTTAGAATAAGAACCACATTTAACTTTGTGATCCATCATTATCACTGTAAAAAACAAACCTTGCCAGGAAGCACCAGCACATGTCCATTGCACTGACAGTTAAAAAGGTGGTTATAAAAGCTTTAAAGAGCAAACAGCCCAGGTGGCACTAAGTGGTACACCAGGACAACATCAATGCAATGGAGGCTGGGACCAGCTCTCAGTGGGCAGTTAATCAGTTATTTTTCTAAAAACCCACTAAAACCTCCCTTGGAGCCATGTACCCCAAACTGCCTGCAGGGCTACCAGATGCATTCTCTGTGGTCAGAAATGGGAGATATTCTAAGCACTGTAGTCACCCTGGTAGAAGATGCTCCAACACCAAGGTAAGAAGGGTCAGGTAGGTGCAGGTTTTACAAACTCCGACTCAGCTTTCCAGCCCCTTGCAGAAAAAAATTACCAAGGTATTGCTTGGTAATTTGCAAGGACAAACAGCGGGATGAAACAGGGAATAATGCAAGTCAAGAGAGGGAACTAAAACATGGAGGACAAACACCTAGAACAGCAGAAACCCAATCCTAGGCATGCACCAGCCCTTACTACTCTGAGGTTCTGCAGTATGAACAGATCAAGCTTCTCCTTAACAGTTAAATGCCACTACCTTGCCTGCCCTGCCAGCATGGGAAATATTAGCTGTGTCAGCTTGAGAGGCAAAGGGCTTACCAAACAGGAGAGGAATGCAGGCTGCAGTGGCATATGCAGTGGGGATGTGAAAACTAAACCCAGCGGAACGTGTGCGGATCTCAATGCTTCTGCCTTTGCACAGGGGTCAGGCAGGATACGTTTTACAGCTCTTGGGGTTGAAACCTGGGAATAATGTCTTTGTAACCTTAGAGGGACTCCTGTGCCAGAAACTAATGTAGTTGCTAGAGCGGCTGGGAGCTCAGGGGCCTGAGCACATGAGGACAAGCCATTTCTCAGCTCCTGGCAGACAGCCCAGCACTGCTTTTGAATAAGTGCACGTTGTACCCATCAGGCAGGGAAGCATGTGTCTCCTCTGAGCAGCATTTGGTGATGGGAGACCCTTAACACAGCTATTTCCCCAGCTTCATGTTCCCCAAGAAAGCATTAAGATCTCCCCTCAGTTTCCAAGCTGAAATGCCATTATACGGCTAAGCATGACCTGGCATTCAATGCCTCTCGTTTAAAGCACCTTCTACCCCAAATGACACAGAGGAAAGAAACCAGAGGGATAGACACATCCGTGTCCAGCCACATGCAGCCTAATCAGGAGCTCCCTGCTACATGGCATGACAAGTCCCTGTCCTTGCCACAGTCCTCACCTGGGAATGTAAAAACCTGGGGGCCTAGGAATCCTAGTCAAGCCTCCTGCAGAGCACTACAGATTGTTATCAATCAGGCACCAGCTCAGGCTTGGCTAATTCCACTTAAATGACATTATATAAGCAGGGTGACTGAGAATATTTGATTCATAAAAATGTCTTGAAGGGGCAGAAAGCACTACCTGCATGGCATACAGAATAGAGAGACCGCTGCAGTATCACAGGAACACAGACCATGTAATGCAGACAGTGAGGACCAGGGATGCTCATATGCACGCATGCACAACTACACACACATATGCCTCCTCCCCCGGTGTACACAGGAGCAGACTTGGGACTTGCAAGCTGAAGTCCTATGCAGCCAAAAGTTAACACAAATGTTTGTGACAGTTCCAATTTGCAGGCAAAGACAAAAACCGGGTGCAGAGAAATAAATATAGAAAGAAGTCAGGCAGGCAAAGCAGGTGCTGGCTTGCAAAATCTTGGCCAGAAAGGCTCCCCAGGAGGTTGAATCTGGTAGTTTTGCAACAGCTCCTCAGCAATACAGAAGAGACAGAAAAAGAAAAAAAAAAGAAAAAGAAAAAAAGAGAAAATGAATGCATATGCATTCTTTTATCGCCATATATAGTATATACAGACATTTGGTACATACACCCCCAAGCTCTCATATGCCACCATATAATATATACTGTATATGCACATCTTTGTTTCCATGTGCCTAGATTTGTACAGCGTGTGTGTGTATATATATATATAAAATGTATGTACGTGCATGTGATTACTCCCCAGATCACCTACCCATGTGTGGTACCACACGTCACTCGACAGAGCATGTCTAAAGCCTCAGCACCACAGTCTGGGGTGACTTCTGAAGACTTGCAGCTTCTCGCTGCTCAGCTATCCCCCAACAAAGCCTGTAGGTGCAAGCATCACCCAAGAACCACCAGTTTGTCTTGTATTTTCCAGTGATCCCAATCCACCCAGACCCCTCCACCCTCACTTAGGAGAGGACTTTTCATTTTGGCAGAGAACCATGAACAAGGTGCCACCACCAGAAAAGCCACAGATCCTTCTGGGAAGTTGCCCCTCACACCTGTGAAACACATTTACGTACCGGTTCTCACGCCTTGCTGGTGGGATGAACTCAGAGCAGGGCTTTTGGAGACATGCAGGGCTCCACAGGAGTCACGACGATGGGTTTCTTTCCCAGCCCTGCAAAGAGAGAGATACCCATGTGATGCACACTGGATGGGCCTCCTGACGGCTTGTCTCCAGAACTTGCAGTTTAACCCACACAGCTTCTGGGCATTGCAGCATTTTCCTCTCCAACTTTCTTATACAGAAGCCTCCATACTCCTGAAGTCCTTGCACTCACCAAAAGCAAGCATCACCACCTCAATCTGGGCCAACAACCAGCACCAGATATCACAGCCCAGCCAACAACTTGCATTTCATCAAGCCCATCCCTCCTTTACTGATCTTAAAGCCCCTGAGAATGAAGAAATAAAAGGAAATGTAAAATGAGGCTTAAAACAAGAGAGCACGGTGAATCCATTGCTCATCTCTGACCTTGGGCACAGAGAGGGAGCTAGGAGGCATCGTTTAATTCATTTTGCGGGTTTACCACTACACCACAATCCAGTTCACCAGCACTACACTTCAGCATAGCCTTTTCTCTGAGGAACTCTGCCCTATTTCCATTGGGGACTGTCACACTCTTTCCTGTAGCTGCAAAGCAGGCATGACCCTTTCCTGAAGTGACTGACTTGGTGTTGTTTTTCCCCTCTGCAGAAGATGAAGGTAGAGCAGAGGGGACAGTCACGCCATGCAACTGCTGTCTTTGCGCATGGCATGCTACCGAGATAGGCAGCATCTGAATCACACACTCCTTCCTGCCCCTGCTGGCCCACGGCTAGCATTCCGTCCCAGCCACTTCCTGGTCACTCTGACAGCCCTATCTCTGCTCATGACAGGCACAGGCTTGCCTTGTCATCACCACTAAGCAGAGAAAGTAACTGCTGTTTGCTGCTGTAATGATGGAAATGGGTCAGTTCAAACTTGTGTATACTGCGCCTGGGCTGCTCATGAGCATGTATGTGAGCCCACAGAACCAACATGCAGCAAAATGCAGAATGCTGGTGGCTCAGCTCACAGTCCAGATCCCTCCTCTTTGTCACACCCTGAGGTGGCGGCTTCCTGCCCCTGCCAGCATCACTTGCCCCCCACACCATGCCTGATGCTACAGTAGCCAGGACAGAAGGAGGGCTCTCACCTCTCCCAAGCAGTGGTAGATCTCCTTTGCACCAACACTGTATGAGCAGAATGAGGTCCACCCTGACCCAGGCAGCACTTTCCCAGCTCAGTCCCATGGTTCCTGTGATAGCACCTAGCCCTGATTCCTCACAGGGCTGGGCAGGTATAAAAGTTCCCACACATCAATGCTTCCCTCAGGTGTGATAAGGACAAATTCAACCAGAGATTACAATGGCCTCTCCTGTTCACTGCAAGCTTGGGATAAAGATGAGTAACTGTGGGGTTTTATTGCTGGTGAACTCAGCCAAAGAACAATTTCTCTCCATTCGTCAAAGAGGAGACAAGTACAAGCAAATATTATGGTTGTGCATGTTTACTTTTCATTTTAAATTGATGTAGAGTTATATACAATTTAGATCCTTAAGGCTCCTGGCAAAATGCCCTTCAGTCTTATCTGCAAAGGCAGAAGACAAAAACATTCCCCTCTGGTTCCAACACCATTTCAATTCAACTCACAACATCAACGCCAGGACCTCCAGGTAAGACAGCAATTCTTGGGACTCAAACCGTGTTTACAAGATCTTGGCTTAGGCTTGTCTTTCACCAGGTTCAACTCACAGAACGTTTACAAGATCAGTTACAGGACCTGGCAGACTTGGCTAGTTGAACCGCATCTTCCTGGCTTCACTTTCCACATCCCTGTCCCCATCACCTTGTGACTGGGGTTTCTGCAGCAAGTCAACCAGGACCCCACATGTCCTCCTTGAGCACTCAGCTTTAGCCTGCTGTGAAACCACCCACCTCAGCAGCAAGCGGTGCCCAGCATGGTCCCAGATGGGCAGCAACCCCCTGATGCCCAAGCAATGCACTCCTTCCCAGCCACACATTCACAGCTGGGCAGGACAGGGACAGCCTGTCTGGTCACAGCAATATCCACCTCAACTGGTCTATCAAACCACTCTATTTACAACCCTGTATCTTTTTCAGAAGGCTGCAAAAGTCAGTCTGTGTCTTTAAGAGCAGAAATCCCCAGAAGACACATGTAGAGGACAGACCCAAGGTACCAGAAGAGCTGCTCTTCATAAGCTCATTATGATGAGCTGCTGCTCATCATAAGCCATCAAGCCATGATGCCACCACCAAATCAGACTTCTTCAAGACATAATCTCAACAAGCATTTCCCATTGGAGAACATTTCTTGAGATTTAGACCCCCCAAACCTCAAGATCAGCAGAGCTCCTCTCTCAAAAGTCACTCATCTCAGTTGCCTGTACACATCCCTCAACAAGCAGCACCTGAGAGCCTCACACCAGAGAGCTACACAGAGGATTAGAACAGTGATACTTGAACCGCACCAGCTCTGCTGAGCAAGCAGGCAAAAGATACAGATCTTGAGAGACAACAGCAAGTCCCAGAAAAGGGTCTGTCCCTCAGAGTCATGTTCATTCCTGCTCTGGCTCAGGTAGGGAAAGATACACGAGTGCACAGTACAGGTATACCCAAATCACTGCCATCAACTCCAGCGTTAAGTCTTTCCCCCACTGGAGTCCCCAGAGAAATACACGCAGACTGTCCCTAAGCAGTCACACCTCTGGGTTTCATACATCCCCCAAGAACCCTTATGGGGAATATTCAGGTGCTTTTACAACAGAAATAGTAACAGCAGGCATGTTTTTAGCTCTACAGAACTGAGGTCCTCCTAGTTTAGAGCCACCACAACAGATGCTTAGTAGTCTGTGCACAGCTAATTCTGATCTTCATCTTGCAACAAGAAATCCCAGCTTTCTATCACAGTCCTGCAGGAGAATTGCAGGAAAGTCTCTTTGGTAACACAGCTTTACACTGCCAAGCTCCTGTCTGGCATAACTCAATATGACTCTTGTGCCTTCCAATCACCAGCTACAGCAGCCAAGACTTCTGAGCCCGTATACACACCTATGTGTAGACATCTGCATCTTCATTTTTATGCCTAGCACAATACAGACCACTTATTTTAATGCACCATTTCAACAGGCAATTTATCATTTACAAGTAATTTAAAGCAAGTGTCCAAACAGCAGGAATCAGCTATCACAGTCAAAGCATTAAGTAAATTCTCAGAACAAAGTACCAGAACCAGAATTTACTGAAAGAGTACATCTTTCACAGAAGATTTTCTACATTTATTTCCTCCAACTAGTTTAATTTAATACACAGATCACAAAAAGCTGAGAAAGTGATCAGAAGTTAAAAATGCCATCCCAAGCTGAAAGGTATATAAGATGAGAGACTGAGAGCTACAAACTCTAAAATCCTTAAAGACATGGCAATCAGAAACAATCTGTTTATTCATTGGCTGATAATACTGACCCTGTATTACCAACAGTATTTAACAAACAACTAGAGTATGGAAAACAAAGTTTCCTGCTTACAGATTTAAATCTAAACGCAGTAGTTTAACATACCTGAATTTAAACATCAGTGCTCCGTTATGGTTTAAGCTTTCTTATATTGCTCAGATTTTTCAGAAATGGACAGTTTAAAACCTCTGCAAGAGCTCCAAGTTTCAAAGAAGCACAGTCAGCACTT